AAGAAAACTGCCTGCCTCACCTCGAATCTGTTCTCTGCTGTGTCTGGTTGCTCCTCAGCACACGAAACACGTTACACACACAGTTGGTGACAAAAAACACTGCATATTATATAAATAATCTAAATTATAGAAAATCAGTTCGTTAAATGTTTTTAATAATTTTATTGGCGACGTACAGACAGGAGGAACATGCTCTCATCGAATGGCAGCCAGTGCAGTTAGTGAGAGGTTGCGCAATCCAAGGTGAGGCTCAGCTCGCTGCTGCCTCATCAGTTGCGCTTGAGAAAATTTTATGATTCTAAAGAAAAAAAAAATCAAAATTGGTTAAGCTAAATGAAAAATAGATACTTTATAGTACAAACCACAGGGTGAAAATAATACTATAAATTATCTTACCATCATTTATAATTTTTCCATGATAACAGCTGAGGCTCTGCTTTACCTGCCTCCCCTGACCGCACGTGATTTAACTGTTTCCCGACAGTCATAATGTGGTTTGCCTCTGCCAAACAGTAACCATAGAGACAGTATAAGGAAGAAATTGTCAGCCAAATTAGATAAAACAGTAATGAAGCTTAAATATCGTATGTAGTAGCTTGTAATCTTTCTGTCAGTATGTTTAAATTCCCAACAGTTTTCAGTTATAAATTTTTATTATTGACAATAATAAACAAATACTCATCTGAAAGTGTTGATTAGCTCTACTCAAAAGGTGTCAGCCCAGGACTCTAACATTTATTGTTCTGAGTGGTAGGTATTTTCCTCGAACCTTCATAAAAGAACCACAGACAACGTATACAAATTTTATGGCGAAGCTTTTGCAAAAGGAGAAGTCTCAGAAAACTGCTCCTCCGAGCCGTTCACAGAAACCTAATTCAACCATCTGCTGTCAACCAATGCCGGGATTTCCTGCGAAACTGTTTGTTCAGATTCTTTGTTCATGTTTTATGAAGACGAAAGCATGTTCATAAAATGTTTATGAAAGTATAAACATTTTATGCCTTTATAAAAGGCATAAAGTGTATTTTATGAAGGCATAAAACACATTTTATGCCAGGATGAAGTTTTTATGCAACGTCATCCTGTTGGATAAAAAAGGCATAAAAGTCTATGTTTTATTGAGTTTCTCTTGATATATTTTTTCTTTTCACTGTTTTGATTTGGAAATATTTAATTGCATGCAGACTTAGATTAAATGATTGATAGATCACAGGTTCTACAGCATGTTTTGTGAGTCACCAAGCAAAGCAAATTTTTCCCTGAACTGCACATTCACTGATATCTACGGAGGTGCAAGGACCATTTCCCGCAAGAGCAGGTAAATATTTCAGTATGCATTCCTGGCTAAACCTTTGTACACGTACTTCTAAATGTATAGATGTAAAAAAATTATCTTTACTAGACAGTAAAGATTAAATACTTGCTTGATATATTTATTATAGTTATTCCAAATTTATTATTTTAGATTTATACTGTAACTTTGTATTTCAAATTGTTAAATAATTTAGTTTTTTGTAGCTCTGTGTCTGTCAGAAGGTCAATGGTAACAAGGGCATTAAATAGCAATAGAACACATTAAATGTTAGATATTAAGTTTAATTTTAGCTTATATATCTGTGTACTTCACAATAATCTTCAACATGTATCCATCCGACTTTTATTATCATCTCTGCTTTCAGTTATTATTAATTAAACGAAAATAAGTGAAAGTGATACAAAATAAAAATGTTAAAGTAGAAATTTCTTAAATTGCTTTGCTTGGAGCCCATTTATTTTTTTTTACATCACTTTGGCTTTGGCAACAGGATCTGTGTGAGGAGTGTGCATTGTAATTTGTTGGGTTTCTACAGTTGACAAATAGCTATTTACATATGAAAACATCAAGGAATCATCTCGTCTGTTTAAACATTCCTCTTTTAAGTCTTTAATCCATTGTTGTTAATAACTGTATGTTCAGCAGACTTGTTGAGCTAGCTTGTTGCATAAGATTAGCCATACTAATTGACAATAAACAGAAAAGAAAAGAGGACGAAATTCCTGAAGGACTTCTTTTGCCCACAGTTTAATAAAACATGAAGTCTCATCAGCAGTAAGTCCATTGTTTCCTTCCCAGGTTAAATTTGTTCTTGTTGAACTTGGAGTTCCCCTCAGGCATTTGATGAAAATGTTTACTAAGTGAAACTTAAACTTTGCAAATTTAGACTGTCGCATGAACTAATCAGTACATTATTGCGAGAGAACTCAAAACTTTGCAAGATAATGCAAAAGTATTGCGAGGTAACGCAAAAGAAAAAAAAATCCTCCATGTCCCCCAGGGGGCTCCGTAGTGAGTGATGCATGAAAAACATGTATTGAGATATATTTATTAGGGGTTTAACAGAGAAGTGTAAAAAAAAATTGTGGCAATTTATTCCAGACATCAATCTGTCATTATTACATTACAAATTAACAGTGGAGCAGATTTGACAACAGTGTCTTTACCTCAAACAATAATCAGCTGAAATAGGACAGGCAGCATGATGTACCACACGAGACACAATGGATTTCCATAGCAACATAAATGCTATCAACTTTGATTCCTGCTGTAGAGTCATCTTTGTCCAAAAATAAATGGTACATTTTTAGATTTTGTGTTAGTGTGTTGTTCTGCAGAAAATCTTTGGGCTGATTCAGGTTTTCCTCGTCACAAAGGGTTCAGAGTTTGTAGCTGGACTTCAGGACAGGATGGCGGCCCTCAAAAACTGGAAATCTAGTCTCTTTGACTGCTTTGAAGATGTGAATACTTGTAAGAGTGATGTTTTTATTTTCATTCAAATTATATAAATTAGCCCTCAAGTCACCTAAGACTATTTCATCACTATGTTTGTTTATTCCCCAGGTTGCTATGGCTTCTGGTGCTGCCCTTGCCTTGCCTGCACTGTTTCAGGAAGATTTGGAGAGAACTACTGTTTGCCTTTATGTGACATTCTGACTCCTTCTGTATGTGCAGCCTGTGGGGTTCCTCTGTTTGTCCCCCCTGCGGCATTGTCTATGAGGGCTTCCATTCGTAACAAACGTGGAATAGCAGTATGACATATTTTACACTCACCTAAACTAATTTTGATGTAAAAGTGCAAAGTTCTGAAAATGTTTCATGTGTTTGCTTTCAGGGTTCCCTCTGCAAAGACATACTTGCTTCCTGTTGCTGTGTCTGGTGCTCCTGGTGTCAGATGCATCGCGAGCTAAAGGAGCACACTCCTGTCGTTGTTGTGATGCAGCAGCCCGTGACACTGCCTGGTCCAGTTGTACATGCTAATCCGGTCATGATGGTCAATCCAAACGCTGCTCCACCTCCTGGTGGTTTTCAACATGCTGCTCAAAACCCTGCTTGGTTACAGAGCCGTCCTTAATACACTGAAGGGTTACAAAAGCCTCCTCCTTCCTAACTAAATTTAAGTTCCTCAGATCAGCCATAATAATATTGGTGTATATTGGGATTATTTACTTTATCCAAAAAAGTCAGCTAACTCTCAATACCTCAAATGAAAATCAAAAGTTTTGAGTTTGATTTTGAGTTCATATGTATATTAACATTATTATAAACATTGTACAACTATCTCATCAATTTGAAATAAAAAACATAACTCAATAACAAAAACAGTGTATGTGACTGGACCTTATTATTTGTTTCTAATTGACTCTCTAATGCAGCCTTATACACCCCATGAAAAATGATCAAATTAACTTTCAGATTGCAAGACAACTACTCCACCCACTGAGCCACAGTAGACACTGCTTTCAGCCATATGTCAACTAAAACTATAGTGAAGGAGTCTCAGTTTAATTTGTGTTTTGAGGTTTTAAAGCGAAAGTCCAGATTGCAAATCCTGCAAGTCAAAAGGCAAATGTACTGCAGCAACTGGATTGTGTATGCAAATGTTGCACAGTCCCTTAATCATATGGAGGACAGATTAGCATATGTCCACACCTTACACAACCAGTATTCTGTCAGCTCACCACCAAGTGATAGCAAGACTTTGGATAACTAGGATTTCAGGTAAACTTTTGCTTGGTTTTTGGAAAGTTTGATATATTTTTAAAACATATGCAAGAAACTGTTTTCTCATTAATTGGATTTCAGGATTACAAGACACAAAGCTGTTTCCATAATCAGAAATAATTACTGTTGAACAGTTTTACCTTTCCTCGTTAGTGATGAAGAGATTCTTGAATGTCATCACTAATAAAAAACAGGAACAATGGCAAGTTCAGAACAACTATGACATAATCAAGAATAAAAATATTTACAAATAAAAATATACCATATGATCAAACTGCTTTTACATACATGTTATAATTGTTAGGGTTTTTTTTTTTTTTTGGTCAAACTGTTAAAAAGCATCTCATCATATCACACACATTCTGTGGCAGCATTCTGAAGTGATTGTCAGACTTTTGAACGTGGACAAAAGCTTATAAACTGTCAGGTAAGATTTTTCTATTTTCTAAATAAATATTGACAGCTTTAAGTAGAATTCATAAAATTATAAAATAGCTATACATTCATCGTGCTGTTTATAATTTATTATGAAAACATTTCTTATAAGAATTTGCATTTATCATTTTGATAAATTTCAATGACGTTTAAATAAAAACGACAGTATTAATGGAAATGTAATTTGTATTGTTTTCTCTGCTGTTTGGTTTGTGAGAGCATCAACAAACATATGTAAATTTAAAAATATGATTAAATACAGTTACTGTGTGCAGTTTAGTGAAATACATCAACCATCTTTAAGGAAGTGGCTTCCCAAAGAAGACTTTCTCAAAAAAGGATGTTTTTCCAGAGCAGTATTTGTGTTTGTAGAGCCATGAATGCTGTGCCACGCAGTCACAGCCAGTTACCTAAAAATGAAGTATTAAATAGTTTTAAATAATCCTTTTTGTTATCACAATAGTATCACAAAATACTGTGATACAATTCTAAATGTATATTTCCCAACTCCAGACAAACGTCTGACAAGGGATCAGTTTTGTTACTCAATACTTCCTTTTGGTGATAGATTTTATTGGTTTTAAGAATAATATTAGTAGCAGAAAGAATAGAAACATTTCCACCTGTAAAATGGTAATCCTCTCATTCTTAAGAAATAAAGAGGTATTGCAACCAAATAGAAAGGATAGAAAAGTTCAGAGTAAAATTTAATGACATTTCTCATAAAGTTCGCTCCCTATTGGTGAACTTTAGAAAGTTCCCCAACAGGTGAACTCCCTAATAAGTATTTATTATTAAAATTGTATTAAAATTGTCAAAGTTCATCTACTGGGTGAACATTAATAAGTTAAATAAGGTTTATTTAATGCCCTGTTGTTTCCTCGCACACAAAGTCAAACTATGACACTGAAATATTTTAATTTAAAAGTCTATCAAGATTCTACATTACATTTTACACTAACTATCCTGTAAAAACAGACACCTTTTAAAGACTCAACCTTTTGTGATTTAAACTGGTGAGCTATACTGTTGTGTTTGTAATTCACAATGAATTCAATTCAAAAGATTGTAGTAAGGTACAGGGTAGTAACTAATTACTTTTTCTCAGTTACATTTAGCCAATTCATTTTTTTTTTATTTTTTTTTTACAAAATAATACTTTTCCGAATAGTTTTACTACACGTACTTTACTTTTACTTGAATAATATTTCTACGAAGTCTCACTTCTCTTGAGTAAAATTTCTGGATACGCTACCAACTGCATTACTAACTGGACTAAATGAACAAATTTGCAGCAGATACAGACACAACAGTTTATGTTAAAGTGAGACTTGTTTGAACAACAGATTTGGTTAATCTAAAGTTAGTTTTGATTAGCTGAGCCTGCTGAAACATTTGAAATATTTTGGATTTAAAATCTAGGTTCTATCATCTGATGGCAGACCAACCCCTGATTGACTGGGATAGTGATCTCTGTGACTGCTGCGAGGATGCACAGACATGTAAGACTCCATCCTTGTTTCTTATATACCAAGTACAAGGACTAAATGCTTGTAATATCCCATGATTGCTGTGTTTCGTTGTGTTCACATGTTTTTCAGGTTGCTATGGTTTCTGGTGCGGGCCATGCCTTGCCTGCACTGTTTCAGGCAGATTTGGAGAGAGCCGCTGGCTCCCCTTATGTGACATGTGTGTTGATAAAATGATCTCTCCAGCAGCCCTGTCTCTAAGAGTTGCCATGAGACACAAATATGGTATCAAGGTATGGCAAGATTAGATATGAATGACATACATGCCCAACAAACAATAAATCTGATTCATTGTTCCTTTGTAGGGTTCACTTTGCAAGGATATTGTTGCGACCAGCTGCTGCCCAATATGTGTCTGGTGTCAGATGTACCGCGAGTTAAAACATCGCAAAAAGTCCCCCGTCGTCATCAACATGGAGGTGCAATCTCCTGTCAACATGCAGCCTCATCCAATGATGGCAGCTCCTCCTCAGCCTGTTTTCAACAGATAAGCAGAAATCATCCAGGCTTCCTTTTGATTTTCATCATCACAATATTTAACATTATCACCATTGCAAGATATTTTAATTTTATGTATCTTAATTTGGACAGAACAAATAGGTTCAGCAAGATCTAGAGAAATTCATCCATGTGTTTATCTTTGGTCGCATTGATTACTGCAACAGTGTCTTTACAGATCTGTCTAAAAAAATCATTTTGACAGCAGCAGTTGATAGAGAACGCTGCTGCTGCTCCTCCTGTTCCCATTAAAACCAGAAAAATAGAGCACATCACCCAGTCCCTAAGTCTGGAGGCTAACAATTTGAAATTCCTTCAAGTCTAGACTGAAAACCCACTTGTTTAGAATTGCTTTTGAAACATCATAATATGAAGCATTAATCAACATTCTTATGTGTAATGATGGCATTACATATATGTGTAATATTTGGCAATATGTGGCATTACACATATGTGTTATCTTATGTGTAATGATGATAAAATATATCCAATTGTTGACTGTGTGTTCTCTGACTTTGTAGTTTTGTCTTTTTATTATGTAAAGCACTGAACTACCTTGTTTCTAAAACGTTCCATACAAATAAACTTGATTGACTTGATTGATTGTCTAGTTCTTGAGGCAGGTCTTTGTGCATCTGGACTAAGAACAATTAGTTCATAAGTTCAGCTGACATTCTTACACAAGGTCAAAGTCTTACACAAAATACCTACATTGTCATGATTTGTGGTTGATTGTGGTGAGAAAGAACACTGAAACGCAGGTTGAAGAAGACAAAGATGAAGGTTTAATGTAGAAACAGTCCCGATGCAAGCAGCTCGGGGCAAACAGACAGGCAACGTGACACTAGGGAGACTGACAACACTTGACGAGGATCCGACAAGAGACAAAGACAACAGGTGGACTTAAATACACAGGGAGGGTAATCAGGGAATGAGACACACCTGGGAAGCAATCAACAAAGAAGAGAGGACAGGGACAGGACTAAACACAGAAAACCTCAAAAATAACTGACAGAACACAACATACATAGGGTAGAAAGTTTAGCAACTAAACCTTTTACGGCATGTTAAAATTATACATTAGGAAAACAGTGACAAAAAGTAAGCATTGAATTTATTTGCTGGAAAGTGAAATTTTTCTTTTAAACACAATTCAGTTTTTTGTCGAAGCCACTAAAATTCTCTCTTGAACTGATTTAATATAATATAGAGCCTGTGGCAGACTGAATACAATATCCACATTATTTTAAAAGTTGCACTGGAACATGCGTAGGAACCCCCAGTATTGGAGACAGTCACATTCGGCACCCCCAATAATTTCAGCGCATTTGCGAAGAATTTAAAAAAATCTTCCACTCGCGTACTTTTATTTTGAAGGCGCACCACAGAGCTTCCGCCCCCCTTCTCCCCCCCGCCCCCCTGAACAGCTCAGAGTGAAGGCGGGAGGAGGCAGCGGTAGCCCGAAGCTCCGTTTCAATGAGGTATACCGTCTGTCGGGAATGTTGCCATGAATATCGCTTGTTTATGATATCTTGCTGTCAGTTTACTTTCGTATATAGAACTAAATCTTTTTGGTTAGCCGTTGTTTTAACTCTGGAATAGTCACATGTCCAAAATTTTACTGCTAACTTTGTCTAAAAGTTAGCTACTCTAGTCACAATGTTTTATTTAATCAGAATGAGACTGAAACAACAGCACAAAATGAAGTGAGATAAAAACAAAATTTAAAGTGAGCAATAATGGCTACACAACATATGATCATACTCGACCACTTAACATCCATCTTCTGTACACCCTTGACCCTTAGTGGGGTCCGGAGGTGCTGGTGCCCATCTCCAGCTAACGTTCCGGGTGAGAGGCAGGGTCACTCTGGTCAGGTCGCCAGTCTGTCGCAGGGCAACACGGAGACACACAGGACAAAAAACCATGCACACACACACACTTACACCTGCAGAGAATTTGGAGAGGCCGATTAACATGACAGTCATGTTTTTGGACTGTGGGAGGAAGCCGGAGAACCCGGAGAGAACCCATGCATGCCAGGGAGAATGTGCAAACTCCCTGCAGAAAGACCCAGAACCTTCTTGCTCCAAGGCAACAGCTCTACCAACTGCGTCACTGTGCAGCCCACCACTTAACATATTATATTATATTATATTATATTTTTTTTATTATTTTGTTGATCAAACTGATGTATTGAGTTTAAAACTGCTGAGTCCTATTTTATGAGCTGTTTTTTTTACTTTGGTTTTAGAATGAGGCAGAATCTGTTCATTTGCCAGTCAACGTATATCAGTGCATTTTGACCAATAATCAAGTCTTTTGACCAATAAAATATATCACAATCTGGTAGCCTGTGTGTGCTACCAGAGTATTTAGCTTGCTAGTTGTGAGGCAAATGATGAAGTGAGTGTTCAGTCATTTTGCTACTTGGATGCATAACTTTAATCTGATTATCTGATTATTGGATTGTAAATGGTAATGTGTTAGAATACTTGTTACTGAAACAAGGGGGCGGATTAGAGAAACGCGTTACTGACTTGTTGATGGTACAATTGTTTATGACATTTCTGATCTGTCAGGTTTCCGATATGCATCCCCCCCAATGACAGACTCCTTCCTACGCCCTTGCCAGCAAGCACTGTCCCTATTTGCCTGCTGATTTGGGTATCAACTTTACATATGGGCTTGGCTCAGGTGGCCTAGTTTGTTGTCACATTAAAAACAGAATAGTTAGAGTGAAAAAGAAATGCTTGTAGTATTCAAATAAATTACGCACTTGTTCAAAGTTGGACAAAGAAATGTTCTAAAAGTAATATTTTTAGTGAATAGAACATTTATTAGAGTCTGAAGCATGTTAACTAAAATTTCAGGTGTCTTGAGATGATAATAATAATGTGTATTAAAAGACATTTTTTACTTTGGAAGTAAAACAATAAATGAAAAGATCATTGTTATGCATCCATCCATTATCATGCACACATGTGGGAATTTTTTTGAGAGCATTATCTTACCATTGATCTCCCAGAAGAAAGGAAGCTTGACAAGTCACACAACTTGCTTTCTTTATTTACCCAACAGGTTAAACTATATATCCTCTGTTATAATAAGTTAGTTCAATGGTGTGGGCGGGATGGGGCCTCCTCTGGCTCCTGGTCACATGGATGCCTGTGTGCCAGGTGGGGGTGCCTCTCCCTGCATCCCTGGCCTGGTGGGTGGGCCAGGGGTCTTGGTGGCTGAGGCTTAGTGGGCTGTTGTGTGTGGCTCTGGGTGGGAAGGAATAGGTCTTGGGGCTAAGGGATTTGGGTTATACCTGGATGGATCATAGGCCTTTTAAGGCTGCCTATGCCAGTAATCGACATCTCACACACACACATTTGTATTTCTATCAATATTAGGACATTGTATTGACTTTCATTCATTTTAGTAACTGCATTTATGCCAAAGCCAAACATCTTCTCTAACCGTAGCCAATACTATACTTAACCTTAACCAAAATCTAATTCATGTCATACTTCTAAACAAAACTATTAACCTCATTTGTTTCTGAAAAATAAATCATACATTTTCATGTCTTGTATTACAGTGTGTTGCATGGCAGGAAACTTTAGAGCTGACTGAGTTTTTCCTGGTCACATAAAACTTCAGGATAAGATGACAGAAACTCCCCTAAAACAATGGAAGAGTGGTCTCTTTGACTGCTTTGAAGATGCCAATACTTGTAAGATTCATTCTCTCTTTTCTTTAAAATTAAATGAGTCTTCCAGTCATCTTGTATCATTTGCTGTGAATTACTTTGTTTGTATGTTCCCCAGGTTGCTATGGCTTCTGGTGCTGCCCTTTCCTTGCCTGCACTGTTTCAAGAAGATTTGGAGAGAACCCCTGTCTGCCTTTATGTGACATGCTGGTTTCATCTACAGTTGTAGTGTTTGGGGTTTCTTTTGTTATTCCCCCTGTAGCGTTGTCTTTGAGGGCTTCCATTCGTAACAAACGTGGATTAAAGGTATGATGTATTTTAGACTCACCTGACCTTATTTTGAAATGCAATGATATAAAGCGTTTTTCATGTGTTTGCTTTCAGGGTTCCCTCTACAGCGACATTTTGACTTCATGTTGCTGTGTCTGGTGCTCCTGGTGCCAGATGCATCGTGAGCTGAAGGAGAGAACTCCTCTCGTTGTTGTGATGCAGCAGCCCGTGACGATGCAGCCCCCAACTGTGGTCAACGTGCAGGCTAATCCGGTCATGATGGTTAATCAAAACTCTGCTCCACTTCCTGTTGGTTTTCAAAACTTTCCTCAAACTCCTGGTGGGTTTCAAAATCCTCCTCAAAATCCTGGTGGGTTTCAAAATCCTGGTGGGTTTCAAAATCCTCCTCAAAATCCTGGTGGGTTTCAAAATCCTGGTGGGTTTCAGAATCCTCCTCCATATCCTGAGGAATTTCAAAATTCTCCTCAAAATCCTGGTGGGTTTCAAAAGCCTCCTCCATATCCTGAGGAATTTCAAAATCCTCCTCAAAATCCTGGTGGGTTTCAAAATCTTCCTCAAAATCCTGGTGGGTTTCAAAATTCTCAAACCCCTGATGGATTTTAAAATCCTTCCTGTTGGTTTGAATTCCTAACAGAAACTGAACATATTTGTTAACGTTTACGTTCTTCAGATAAGTCGTGATCATGTTGGGGTGTAATGTTTACTTTATCCAGTAAATTCACTGTCAGTGCTTCAAATAAAAGTGAAGAGAGTTGAATATGACTTTGAGTTCCTACGTATATTAACCTTCTTATAAACATTGTATACTTGTTAATCAATTTGAAATAAAAAAACATAAGTCCAACAACAAAAACAATGTATTTGACTGAACCTTATTGTTTCTAATTGACTCTGTAAATCAGTCCTATGCACCTCATTAAAATGGACCAGATTACATAAAACATTTTTATTATTTAAAACTGTACATTTCCTTTAATTACAATGTAAACAAGAAAATATTTTGGTTTTAATGAGATATAAAACTTGTCACCAATCACTGTCCGAGTGTTATTTACATAGCTACAAATTTTCTCCCTTAAAGAGAAACTGCTCTTAAAATAATTTCTTAGTTTTAAACATTCTGTAGATTATTTAGCAAAACTTATTAAAGAAACTAATGGAGACTTGAAAGGCATAACACAACAGATATAATTACAGCACGGCCTACAACTGGTGAATTTTTTGTGTCAAGTCACTTTTGAAATTTAAATTAAATGTAAAAAATTTTTATGCTGAAAGTAACTGCATTTATTACTATCATGCAAGTGATAGTAAGCAAATAACAAGGCACAGCTCCTACGCTTCTGACACACCGCACTTTTATCAGTTCTACTGTTTTGTACTAAAGACAAAGACTAAAGAAAACCATTCAGTAGTAATGACCTCATTATGTCAGATATGTGACGATACAGGTTTGGTAGTTTTCAGTGCCCTGTTTTGTGCAGCCACTCAGGATAAAGACAGTGAAAAGCTATTTGAGTCATGAAGTTCTGTTGCTGCAGTTCATCCAAGTTCAGTTACACAGTTGTTATAACTCTGTATGACAACAGTCCACAGCCACCTATTTGGTAATTTAGTATTTTCTCCCCTGTAAGTAAATATGGCATTCATACTAAGAAATCACACCACTACCCTATTTGTTCTCAATTTAGCAGCACCTATTTGCTTAAGCTGAAATATTTAAAGTATGGAAAGTGTGAAGAAACCCGGCACTACTGTTTGTTTTTCTAAATGTTGCTGTGCTGCCTTAACCTGTTCCTTGTGTGTGTGCTTTAAGTTTCCTTTGAGTAAATGACTTCCTGATAAATGAAACTAAAAATTCCCATTCCACAGGAGAACAATACAATCAGAATGTAGGTTAGCCGTTTCCTGAAAATGAGACTGTGTTCCTGCAAATGTGCAAAATAAGAAAGGTGTTCTTCTGAAATAAATATAACAGTGAATTAAGGCTAACTCTTACACTCTGTATCCAAAGTAATACAACAATATTTTAAAAGTCTGCAAAACTGAAGTTTTTCCCTCCAGGTGGTTTCTGAACCAATCCAACCCACAACCTTGAAGCATTTTTTTTATTTTCACTGTTACTTCCTTCATAGTCAGCTTCATGTCAAAGTCTGAATAGTTAAATCCAAACATGGCTAGATTTGTTTGGTACCAGCTTCAAATTGGAGCTTCATATCTGGTGACTTTGTGAAACAACTCAAAAGTTTAGATTTTATTGTTTGTCTTGGCTTAGATTGGAAGCTTTACTAATCTAAAGTTTCTGACTGGTGATTATGAAATCGCCTCATTCAGATAACAAAAAGCAGAGCTTAACCCAGTGTGTGTCCACATTCTCACATCACAATCAAAAAGGAGAACGTTTATTTCAGAATCAAATTACATAAAGGATTGTTTGCGCTTTTAATACATGAGTCACCAAACGGGAAAACTTCAGCTTCATTAAGTGACACAAAGATAGCAAAATGCAACAGCAATTTGATGCTGATGAACAGCAACAGCATCAAAGTGAAATCATTTACGATGTTGATTGTGAGCACTCAGTCAGGCTCAGGAGGAAGAAGGAGATGTCTTGTATTCAAACTGGCTGCCATGATTGATGTGTCACAGGTTTTGCAACATATTTTGTGTGCGCCCAGGCAAAGCAAACCTTACTGTAAACCACACATTTGCTGAAATCTGCGGAGGTGCAAGGAAGATCTCCCACAAAAGCAGGTAAAACGTTTTCCTTATGTATAGTCAAAGTTTTATACATACATTCCTAAGTGAATACATGTAAACTTTGTTACATTTACTTGAAAGTCAAGACAAAATACTTTAGCTTTTCTAATTGAATTGTTTTAGATTTATAACTTGTCTTTCAAATTGTTCAAGTATTTACTTCTCTTTTAAATCACTGTGACTGTCAGAAGGTCTAAGGTCAATAAAAAGTCAGAAATTATCATTATATAATAATAGTGCAGATCAGAGCTAAGATAAAATCACTTCTGTAAAATTTTTATTTTTTTTTACCATCTCTCTTTACATTTACCTTAAAAAAGAAGATAAGAAGTGACAAACACATAATGGACAATGCCCTGCAGCAGCGCAGCTTCACACTGATAAAATCATGGTTGAAAAGCTAAAGTTACTTCACGATGTTGTGCATTTACTCTGTTGCCTTGTTTAATTTTCCTTACTTTACACAAACATATTTTAGATTCTTACAATATCAGATTAAATAATTCAACCTCTGATGAGAAGTAAATCAAAATTTCTCTAAAATTGACACTTTACCTATTCTAAGAAATTTTCATTTTTAGTTGCAACAGAACACTCAAAAGACCAAACAAAACTTTTCATTTTGAGGTTGTGATTTTTGCCTACTGCTCAAATTCCAGAGCAAATCTGTCCAACAGTGCAAGACAATCAGACACATCATACTGATTGTCTAAGCTGCTGGGTTTCAAATAACATAAAAATAAAACAGCATGAGAAAGACAGAAAAGTAAAATGCAAAAGATACATTGCAATCCTAAATTTAAATTGAACAACATATTTTTTAATAGATGCCATGAGATCTTAAGGAGATAATAGGAGGCTGTTGTTATTCTTTACTAGTCGACAAATTGTTTTTTAGGTATGCAAAAAATCAGGAAGCAACTCACTTGTTTAAACATTACTCTGTAAGTTTTGAATTTCTGTTTGCTGAGTGTATGTTCAGCAAACCTTTTCAGCCATCTTGTTCTAAATTTAGCTGTACTAAATTAAAATGAGAGCAAAAGGAATGAGCAGCCATACATGAAGGACTCAACAAGTCTTACTTTCAATAAGTCTGTTTTTCTTTTAATCGAGTTTGTTCCTGGTGCACTTGAAGTTTTCCAAAATAATTGGTGGAAACATTCAGTAAGTGAAGTCTAGACTTGTTAGAGATATGTGCAAAACACATAGATATGTATTTACAAGAGTTATAACTGATAGGTCTTAAGAAATTGCAACTTAAATTCTTCCTAGTTCTTTCAAGGTGACATGCATTATGAATTGAGGCACAGATTTGATCACAATATATTTACCAGCAGTTTGTCAGACTGAAACAATAATCATCTGAAACAGGACAAGTAACACAATGTATCACAGTTTTAGAGACACAGTGGGTTTCGTTCATTATGTTAATGTGTGTTGTTTTGCCATAAACTGACTCATTTCTTTTCTGATCACACAGGGTCATAGTTCAGAGTTTGTAGCTGAACTTCAGGATAGGATGACACAACCTCCCCTCAGAGAGTGGAAAACTGGTCTTTTTGACTGCTGTGTAGATTGCAGTACTTGTAAGAGTCATTTCTTTTTCTTTTTTTAAACTTAAATTTAAAACAATATGCCTTACAATCACCTAAGACCATTTCACTGCTCTGTATCTGTCTGTCTCTGTGTTTTCCAGGTTGCTATGGCTTCTGGTGCTGGCCTTGCCTTGCCTGCAGTGTTTCAGGATTATTTAGTGAGAACTACTGTCTGCCTTTATGTGACATTCTGACTCCTGCTGCGTGTGTAGCCTGTGGGATTCCTTTCATTGTCCCCCCTGCGGCATTATCTTTGAGGGCTTCCATTCGCCACAAACATCATATAAAGGTACGACATATTTTACATTTCGCCTGAACTCATTTTGAAATAGTACATTACATTATGAAAAGTTTCACTGTGTTGGCTTTCAGGGTTCCCTCTGTGAAGACATGGCAATTTCCTGTTTCTGTGTCTGGTGCTCCTGGTGTCAGATGCATCGTGAGCTAAAGAATGGAGGTCCTACCACTGTGGTGCAGCAGCCCACGCAGCACACTACTGTGGTCAACGTGCAGGCTAATCCTGTCATGATGGTTAATCAAAACTCTAATCCACCTCCTGCTCAAATCCCTGCTCAAAACCCGTCTATGTTTCAAAACTCTCTTCAAATCCCTCCTTGGTTTCAGAACCCTCCTCAGTATCCTGGTGGTAATCAGAACCCTCAAAGTCCTGTTGGGTATCCAAACCCTCCTCAATATTCCACGGACCCAAAACCCTCTTAAAAGTCCCAATGTTTAGAACATCCGAACAAACTTGTGAAAAATGTAAGTTTCTCTGATCATTCATGATCATGTTGGTGTATAATGGGATTCTTTACTCTATCCAAAGTATCAATTAGCTCCCAATACTTCTAAAAAGGTGTTGAATTTGAGTTGGTTGGGTTCATATGTGTATTTACTTTATTACAAACATTGCATGACTACTTTATTAATTTGAAATGGAAAATGCCGTTAAACAAATTGATTTAAATACATCAATAGCAAAATGATAAATAAAAACTGAGTGACTTGACTTTATTGTTTGACTCTATTTAATGATGTCTTATATAACTCACTAAAAGTTACCAGAATGTTTATATAATTTACACCAAATGTCTTTGTTTATGCACAGGTACATCTACTTACAACACAGTTGAACAGTTATTGTATTACAAGTAATTAATTAAAAATATGAAACTCTAAAAATGTGACAAAAAGTTAAATTCATATGATGCAGCTTTATCAGACTCCGAGAGGCATGCTTGTTTTTTCTCTGGCCATTTTATATTTATGGCTTACAGTTAATGAAATTTAATTTTTAGAAAACTAGATTACATCAACACATGAGGAGGAAGTGATGCTTGTTTTAGAAAGGAGGAAAAAAGTATGAAATGCAAAGAAGAGACTCTGGCTGGTTTAGAAATATAAAGACAGACATCCTGTAAAGACGAGCTTTAAATCTCACTGTCTCAGATATGTTTTATGTAACACAGAACAAAAGAATGAAATTAAAATTCAATCTGGAGAGACTCAGACGGAGAGAGGGAAGCAGTTAAAAGGGTTTAATGACAAAAATAACATGAAAATAAACACAAGTTCTTTGGCGATCAGGCCCCGGCCGGGGACGTCGAGCTGGACTTCGATAAGCTCGATGAACATTCCTGATGCAGCGAGGGAATGTAAACCCCCCGGGGCCTGTGCTGGTGGCGGCGGTCAGAGGATGATGAGGCCTGAGAGCCGGGAGCTGAAGGTGGAGGTGGGGTGGCGGTGGGTTGATCGGGGCTGGTAAGCGGAGGAGGCTTGGAGTGAAGGTCCTTTTGAACCTGAGCCTGGACGATGATTGGCTGGAGTGAGGCGTGGACCTGCGTTGATAGGTCCGGGTGCGGAGAGGGAGGCACTGATAGCAGGGCCAGGTGCGACAAAAGAGTCTTCCAGCCTGAACTTCAGTCAAGACTCCATTACGAGGGCAATGTTGCATCATTTAATATTCTGAGTTCCGATGGGGGATCATAAACTCAGATATTTCATTTTAATTCATTTAATCTTTTTTTTTTTTAATTGCAACCTTTGGGATTTAGGTAACGCATTCAAAAGATGTAAACTAATAGCCTTATGAACTTTCTAAAATAATAATAATAATAATAATAATAATAATAATAATAATAATAATAATAATAATGATGAATCAAATGTACATCACACCAAGTTAAGGAGGATGCCTGTTTCAGAAACAAATTGCAAAAAAAAAATTGTCTGCTCTTCCAATGCAAGACTAAACTCACAACAGCAAAACTCCAGCTTCTTTAAGAGACACATGGATAGCAAAATGCAACAGCAATCAGAGAACAACAGCAACATCAAAGTGAAATCATTTACCGTGTTGATTCAGAACATTCAGACGAGGAAGCAGGTGACTTGGATCCAAACTGGCTGTCATGATGTGTCACAGGTTTTGCAGCATATTTTGTGAGCGCCCCGGCAAAGCAAACTTTACTGTAACTCAGGCACTTGTTGTTATCTTCCGGAAGAGAAAGAAAGATTTCCCACAAAAACAGGTAAAAAGTTTTACTTATGTACAGTTAGACAGTGTTTTGTACATACATTTCTATATGAATGCAGGTAAACATTGTTACATTTTCTAGACTGTAAAGATGAATTACTGTAGCTTTTTCTAATTTTATTCTTTTAGATGTATCACTAGTATTTCAAATTATTCAATTATTTACTTTTATTTTGTATCACTGTCTGTCAGAAGGTCAGCAAAAACGCAGAAGTTATCATTAGATAGTAGAGGTACAGAGATAAAGTAATTCTGTGAATAGTTTTAAAAATGTATTTAAAAAATATGTCTTAATTATCATCTCTCTTTACATTTACTTTAAAATGAAGATAAGAAGTGACACGGAGAGAAAATATGACACAGTAACTTAAAGTGAAAGTTTATTTAAGATGATTGCAATTATTCTACTTAGGGAGTGTTGGCGAATTTTAGAAAATGTCTTCTGCTTCTTTGTTTGTAAAATCCAAAAAGGTATTTAGTCTGCCTGTTCCAGCTGTAGCCACATTCATGTGAGGCTCATTATATTTTCACTGTACTGGTTTAGATAAGAATGGAAAACTCCCTCATTTTCAATGTTTCAAGGTTTTAAAGGTTTTTGTTAACAAGTTAGACATGTTGGTTCCCAGAAACTTTGTGATAACGCAAGTATAAGTAGGTAGAGACTCTGCCCAGTTAGAACCGATCAGACTGAGCAGATCAGACTGAACCGACTCTGGATATGTCTGTTTGCTGTTCTCATTCTTCCAAGAATAAGCTGGTGTTTGAATGAAAATCACTGATTTCGGATGTAACTAATCATGACAGTACATTAAGGGAAACTCCTTTTGCTTTTACTTCATTTAAATCTTTTCTAATATTGATAACAAAAATTGTTTTAATTTCACATCACTTTGACTTGGGCCAATATTTAGATTTTAAATTTAAAAAATAACAAAACAAGCACAATTAGATGGACAATGCCCTGCAGCAACGCAGCTTTAAACTCTTGATAAGATTGTGGTTGAAAAGCAACAAAACAAGTGTTTTGGTTTCTAAAGTCATTTTACTTCATGATGTCGTTGTGCATTGAATGTCTGTTGCTTTGTTTGATCATTTTATTAAAGGTTTTAACCAAAACTCCCATGTTATTTTAATTACCTCGTGTGACTCAATGGTCAGTCAATTTTTCAAACTGAAAACAAACTTGGACAATGTAGCTCGGCTATTTTCATAAAACGTTTTTACTATATGAGTGTGCCCAGGGAAAACTGAAGATTTAAAAAGATTATGTATAACACTTTGAGCTGCTTTTAGTATGAAAGTGCTTTATAACATGTACAAGACTTTTTTTTTTTCAAGTTTTAAATTTGAAACAATAAGCCTTCCATGCTGTATGTTTGTGTGTTCTCCAGGTTGCCATGGTTTCTGGTGATCCCTCTCCATAGCCTGCCCTGGTTTAGCGTCAGTTAAAGGGAACAACTGTCTGCCTTTATGTAACATTCTGACTCCTGCTGCATGTACAGCCTGTGGGATTCCTCTGCTTATTCCCCCTGCTACATAGTCTAAGAGAGCTTCCATTCCTAACAAACACGGAATAATGGTATGACAAATTTACACTCACATGAACTCATTTTGAAATGAAAGTGCAATGTTATAAAACATTTCAATGGTTTTGTTTTCAGGCTTCCCTCTGTCAAGACATATGTACTTTCTGGTGCTCCTGCTGTCAGACGGAACGTGAACAAAAGAATCAAACTCCTGTCATGGCAGGGCAACAACCGCAAACTGTGGTCAATGTGCAGGCTAATCCTGTCATGACGGCTAATCAAAACCCAGTTATGTTTCACAACTCTCCCCAAAACCCTCCTTGGTTTCAAAGCCCTCTTCAACATTCTGGTGGTAATCAAAACCCTCAGAATCCTGCTGGGTATCAAAACCCTCCTCCAAATCCTATTGGGTTTGAAACTCATCATCAAAGTCCTCCTGAGTATCAAAACCTTTGTCAAAGTCCTGTTGGGTATCAAAACTCTCCTCAATGTCCTACGGAGCCCCATGCTTATAATTCCTAACAACATCAGAGCAAACTTGTAAATAATGTAATCTGCTCAGATCAGCCATGATCATGATGGTGTATAATGGGATTCTTTACTCTATCCAAAAATTAATTTGACTGTCAACACAAAAAGTGTTGCGCTTGAGTTGTTTGAGTTCATGTGTATATTTACATTATTATAACCATTGTATAACTACTTCATTAATTTGAATTGGGAAATGTTACAGAAGAAAAAAGTAGATCTAAACACACATCAATCACAAAAAAAAAGAAATAAAAAATGAGTGACTGGACCTTATTGTTTGCCTCTAATTTATTCTGAAATGCTGTTTTATACAATTTACTAGGAGTTATGAGGCTAACTGCTATTTTTTATCATTTTCACCAAATGCCTTTGTTTATGCATAAATGCATCTCTTTCAATGATTAAAATATAAAAATGTAAAAAAAGTGAAATTCATATGATGCAACTTTATTACACAGTGGCATATTTGTTTTTCTCGTGATTTCTATATTTATGTCTTACAGCTAATGAAATTCAGGTTTTAGAAAACTGCATTACATCAGTGCATGATTTCATTTTTCACTGGGGTTTGATGCCTGTCCAAGTTGTTTAAACTACCTGGAGCTGGTTTGATTACCATGATATCTTTGTGTTTGACCACCGAACTGGCACAACCTAAACCTTACAGAAAATCTGTGGAGCATTAACCAAGCAGAAGATGAAAGACATGAGATCAAAATATGCAAATGAACTAAAATGGGCTATTAAAACAACATGAACTTTCTTATTGTTGATCGTGCTTTTAAGCGAGACAAACAGATAAATCCTGTTGTGAAGTCCAATTTTTTTCTAAGAGAAATATCTAAGGTGAAGTCTTACCTCCCAACAAAATACCTTGAAAAAAATTATGCGGTTATTACCTCGCTGTTGGAACATTATGATGGCCTTATAGAGAGGTCTACAAGGGAAACAAACAAAATCAGAAACGCATGCTGTTTGTATTAATAAAACTACCTGGGATACCTACGTGTAACATTTACATCCTCACATAACTAACTTACAACCAAAGCTTAAACACTCATAACTCATTAACTGAAATTACAAAGCAAACACTGCAGGGATCTTGTGCCAAAAGTGTCAGTTTAATTGTTGCGCAGTTCTAAACTAAAGAGTGCACTTACCAATGTTCGCCACTAGATGTCTTAATACAAACGAAACGTCTCTTGGTGCCGCAGCTCACTTCTACGGAATCCCCCAGGGGACATGGGGAATTTTTTTTTCTTTTGCGAGGGAACGCAAAAGTTTTGCGAGGGAACGCAAAAGAAAAAAAAATTCCCCATGTCCCCTGGGGGGCTCCGTAGTAAACTTCCTTTCTAACATGTAGTAAGCAAAAAAATATTTTTACATTACAGCTCTACCCTAATCAAATCAGAATATTCAAGTTTACATTTTAGGTCCAAAGTTCTCCATTGAATTTCTTACTTTTGTCCTCCTCACTAAAACAAACATCATCACCTCCTTGCTAATTCTCTGCACTTCCTGATCCATTATCTGTCCCAGATCTGTTCTCCTCTCTGCCATTTCCTCATTCATGTGAAAGCAATTTTAAAGCTATTTTAACTATTTCATTCTCTCTGCTAGCATTGCTATTACTGCAAATGGTTTAAGATTTACTTTAAGTGCCTTCAAGTACTTGAACAAAAACTACTATCAAGGTAGTTGCAGTGTTTCTACAGTGTTATAGGAGTATTTAGTGTGTGGTTTCATTGACGCTGAAAAAAAAACAGGTAATAATGGGATTATGAAAAGATAGTTAAAATAAACAGCATGACAAAGACAGAAAATTAAAATGCAAAAGATGCTTTACAATTCTATACAATTTAACTGTCTTTTATTATAGATGCCTTGCTATGTTAAGCAGCCAACATGATCTGCGTGAGAAGTCCATGTTGTTACTCTTTAAATTTCTAAAGTTGACAAATAGCTGATAGGTATGCAAACAATCAGGAAGCAACTAATCTGTTTAAACTTTCCACTGTAAGATTTTAACTCCTGGTTGTTTTATTTTATGTTCTGCAAACATGTTGAGCCATCTTGTTCTAAATGTAGCCATACTAAGTTAGAACAAGAACAAAAAGGATGGGCAGCAAATCATGGATTCATTTTCCATAGTTTGACAAAGTGAAAATTCTTACTTTGAAGTCTGTTTTTTAAGTGTGTTTGTTCCTGGTGCACTTGAAGTTTCCTGAAACAATTGGTGCAAATATTCAGTAAGTGAAGTCTATACTTGTAAGTGATATACATATAGATATATTTTCAAGAGCTATAACTGATAGGTCTTAAGAAACTGCTAATTAATTTACACCAGCCAGTAGATCGTAGTATCTCAATATATATCTTTACCAGCAGATACCAACTGTGAAACAATAATCGGCTGAAACAGGATAGGTAATACAACATATCACAGTTTTAGAGAGACAAAAACATGATGACAGAAATGATATCAACTTGTATTTTTTCTAAATAGTCATTTAGTGAGTTGTTCCTGGTCACACAAAGTCATAATTCAGTTAGTGGTTGAACTTTAGAATAGGATTGCAGAAACTTCACTATATGCATAAAAGTCTTGGCCCCTTGACTGCTTTTAAGATGGCAAGACTTGTGAGAGTCAATTTTTTATTTTTTAAATTTAAAACAATAGGCCTTACAATCACCTAAGACCATTTGACTGCTCTGTATCTCTATGTCTGTGTGTTCTCCAGGCTGCTATGACTCCTGGAGTTGCCCTTGCCTTGCCTGCACTGTTCCAGGAATATTTCGAAAGAACTGTCTGCCTTTATGTGACATTCTGACTCCTGCTGCATGTATGGGGTTAAGGTAAGGGTTAGGGTTCTAAACTTTTTATACTATTATAAAAAGTTTCTATGCTTTTGGCGCTCCCTTTGCAAAGGGAACGCCGAAGGGTGTGTGCTTTCTGATGCTAGATGCATCATGAACAAAAGGATCAAACTCCTGTTGTGGGGCAGCAACTGCAACCTCAAACTGTGGTCAATGTGCAGACTAATCCTGTCATGATGACTAATCAAAACTCTTCTCTACTTTCTGTTGGTGTTCAAAACCCTGCACAACACCCTGCTCAAAGACCGGCTCAAAAGCCTCCACAAAGCCTTGTGTTGTGTATGTGTCGTAATTCTCCTGGCTCAAGCAAACCAGTGATGTATGAAATTAGATCAGTGTAATTTCAAATCTGTTGCTTCTTAAATTTGTACCTGCTGTAAACATCCTCTACGTAAGAAAATGAAAGTGAACTTTCCCATTATATAAGAGATCAATACAGAGTCTAGGTTTGCCCTTTCCTTTAATCAGTATGTGTTTATGCATCGGGTGGTAATAAAATAAATCCCTAATTGGGTCAGGATAAGGAGTCCAGATAATGCTTCTGACTGAGGCAAACCAGTGAAGAATAGCTGTACTTTCAAATCTGCTAATAAATATTTCATTTTTATTTGAATGGTTCCAGTGTTTGCATCTGTGTGGCATATAGATCATTCAAGCGGTAAAGAACTCACATCTTAACCTGAAACAGATCATTAAAGTGGTTTCCCTTTTTTTAACAATTAATGCAAGTGTAAATATAAGAAAGGAGTTGCCCTGAAAATGGAATAAGTCAAACACTCTATATCCTAAAACTTACAAGATTTCAAATTCTGCTAAATATCAGTGTTTCCTTCCAGGTGCTCTCTGAACTAACTGTGAAACATATTTGCTTTCATTTGTCAGCTGACTATGACCCCTTCATAGTCAGTCTATGAAAGAGACTACGACTCTTTTTATTCTTTGTCATCCCATTTTAAGAGCTTTGTGCCACATTGGCTCGGGACATGGAGCCTTTTTATAAATTGCTTTTTTCAAACTGCTGATTGAATCCTCCTTCAGCAAACAAAGAAAGCAGAGTTTTATTTAGAGTGTCTCTAGGCTCCCAGGATACAGTCAAAAGGGAGGATGTGTGCTTTCATATCAAATTACAAAATGGAATATTTGTGTTCCCAAAGCAAAGCAAAGCTTACTGTAAACCACACATTCACTCATAACTACAGAGAAGTAATGGAGGTCTCCAACAAGAGCAGGTAAAAAATATTCAGTATTCATAGTTAAAAGATTATTTTCATATATTTCAATGTTATCACGCAAATATTGTTACATCTATAAGATAGTGTAAATGAAATACTTGCTGGCTGTTTATCATCTATTTATTGTAGATAAATATCCAGCAAATGCTACTATAAGTTTTTAACTCCTGGTTATTAATGAGTGAATCCTCAGCAAACTTATTTAAGCTATCTTACGGTGTAAAATTAGGGAGCACACATTCGTAAAGGACTCTTTTGTCCATAGTTTGTCCAAGTCTCACCACCAGGAAGTCTTTTTTTTTTTCTTAAATTGATGTTTTCTAGCTTGAGTTTGGAGCTTTCCATGGATATTAGATACACACCTTCAGTAAGTGAAACTTAAACTTTACAAATCTAGACTTGTTAGTGATATGTACAAAATGCACATAGAGATGTATTATAAGGGGTTTAACAGATGGCTCTTAAACTGCAGCAATGTCTTCCTGCAATGGATCCATCATTACATTACAGATAGAGAGGCACAGATTTGACCACATTGTCTTTGCCAGCAGTCAGACTGTGAAAGAATAATCAGCTGAAATAGGACAAGTAGAATGATGTACCACTGCGATATAGACAATGGATTTTTGTATCATAACAGAAATGCTATCAGCTTGGATTTCTGCTACATAGTCAACTGTTACTAAAAAAAAACAAACAAAAAAAACTAGGTTTTTATGTTTTGTGGTATCGTGTTGTTTTGCAGAAAACTTGATTGAGTCTCTCCTGGTCACAGAAGGTCATAATTCAGTTTGTGGCTGAACTTCAGGGTAGGATGTCAGAAACTCCCCCAAAAGCCTGGAAAAGTGGTCTGTTTGACTGCTTTGAAGACGTAAATACTTGTAAGAGTTGTTTTCTTTGAAATTAAATGACCTAAGTCTTCTAAAGAGCTAAGTCAACCTCATTGCTCTGTATATCTCTGTGATCTCCAGGCTGCTATGGCTTCTGGTGCTGCCCTTTCCTTGCCTGCACTGTTTCAAGAAGATTTGGAGAGAACTACTGTTTGCCTTTATGTGACATGGTAACTCCTGCTATGCTTGTGGCCTGTGGAGTTCCTCTGTTTGTCCCCCCTGCAGGGTTGTCTTTGAGGGCTTCCATTCGTAACAAACATGGATTAAAGGTATGTGGTAATTTACGCTCACCTGAATTTATTTTGAAGTGAGGGTGCAATGTTATATGTGTTTGCTTTCAGGGTTCCCTCTGTGAAGACATACTTGCTTCCTGTTGCTGTGTCTGGTGCTCCTGGTGTCAGATGCATCGTGAGCTAAAGGAGCACACTCCTGTTGTTGTCGTGATGCAGCAGCCCCAGACGCCGCAGCCCCCAACTGTGATCAACGTGCAGGCTAATCCTGTAATGACGGTTAATCAAAACTCTGCTTCACCTCCTGGTGGTTTTCAAAACCTTGGTCAAGGCCCTGTTGGGTTTCAAAACTCTCCCCAAAGCCCACCTTGGTTTCAGAATCCTCCTCAATATCCTGGTGGGTTTCAAAACTCTCAAACTCCTGTTAGTTTTCCAAACCCTGCTCAAAGTCTCACAGGACTTCAAAACAAAAACAATCTTGATTTTAAAGAATAAAATAACAGTACAAATCTGTCAAAAGTTAAATTCTTCAGACCAGTACTGACAGTCAAGTCAATGCTTCCCATTAAAATAAAATGTTAAATGTGGCCTTGAAGTTCATATGCATATTTTCTTAGAAACATTTTGACTAATTCCTTCATTTCAAATAAATAAATAAAAAAACACAACCCCAATAGCATACCTAATAAGTGACTAATACATTTCCTTTAATTGCAATTAGGGGCCTCCGTTTATATTGTTTATAGTGATACATTTTTGTAAGAGGTTTTGATTTACCATAATTACAATAAATTCTAATTTATGTTTAAAACTCCTAAAAACTATCCGTAATGTCAGGATTATTAGTTTTACTATTTTCTACATTTTGTTCAAGAAATAATAGATTTAAAAAATAGAATTAAATTCAGTTTCTGTTTGCAGATTAGTGATACTAATCACTAATCTCATGTTTTTCAAAGGAAGTGTTTGTGTGGCTGCTCTTCTTGTGCCATACAATCTCATCCATACATTTACCTAAAGTAGTAATAGTTAGCGTCACATTCATTATTACAATATTAGACTACCATAAAACTTTAAGTCCATATCGCCCAGCCTTAATGTCAAACAGTCATTCTTTCACATTTATTCAGTCATAAGAGTTAAATTCATATGATGTAGCTTTATACAGGGGCATATTTGTGTTTTTACAGCTCATTTTCACATTTGACTTACAGCTAATGAAATTGAATTTTTAGAAAACTAGATTACATAAAAATGTGATTTCATTTAAGCAGGGCTTGATGCTGAACCACATTGCTAAAAATACAAGTAACTGGGTTTATGATTACATTACTGTGGGACTGTAAAACCAGGGAGAACCAGCTTTGAAGGATGTCCATAAACAAATAAACATTTTCCTAGAATGTTTCACATGAATGTGTGTTGGTGGTAAATATAACATTAACTGTTAGGGAGGGAGATATGTAAATCAACAATTCTGGGAGTTGGGCAGACAGCATAACTAAAGATGCAACTATTTTAATAACCGGTTATTCTATTGATTATTCTGGTGATTAGTGGGATAATAAAATGTGTACATTCTGCAGATTTGTCATTTAGCATTTTTTATACAACATTATAAGATGCAAATAAGCAAATAAGTTAAATTGAACCAGGTAAAGTTAAAACTGGGCCACCTGAGAAGTCCTGGATTGAACAGATTTACAAATAAATAAGGTTTTTTTAGTCTTAAATGCAAATGTATATATTATTGTACAATTCTGACTTAATTACTGATATGAATGTGTTCTTTCAGTGAAGGGCCTTTTTTGAGCCAGTTAACAATTACTTCAATATTCTAGTCATCACAATTAATCAAATGATATTTTTTTGCCTTAATCTCAAAAATGATCTTAGCAAAGCAACTGTTACCAGTAAACTATGTAGGAAGGGTCTGATCTTTGAAACCCAAAGTTTCTAGACCTTCATCTTAGACTTGCCATTTTATTTGCATTAAAGAATTTTCTTACTACATATTAAAGCTATGAAGGTGTCATCAGAAGGGCATGCAGTATTTATTTCCAGAAAATATGGAGAATCAACACTCATTTTTACAAAGTTACATTTGAATGAACCACATGATTTCATAGATGGGATCAAAATAGAGATGTAGAGAGGCATGTTCAGAAAAATCAAAAGAAGACATCACAATCATAATAACCTGCACATATCAACTATCAAGCATGTTGACAGTAATGAAGTTTTGCCAAGAGATCCTGTTTCATTAACAAGGTCAAAGCAGACGGTTGTCGTTTAATTGTAGTCTTCAAAACAAAGGCGCTCAGGTCAGTCCTCTACTTTTTCATATTATGTGTTCGTGCCTACAATCCATGGATTTTCTTTTCAGACAAAAACTGCTTGCAGAATGGTGAGTCTTTTACTAAAACCATGAAGCTTGGGGTGCCTGCCTTCACAAAAAACCTGTTAAAGGAACAGATTTAACAATTAATGCAGTATGCAAGAAATGATTTCCTCTCAAAATAAACCAACTTGCTGCTATGCATTACACCTAGTTTCCATTTTATTTTTGAAGGTTCTTCACCTCAAAACTCAAACACCACCACTCAAATATATTTAACGACCGTAGAAAATAGTTAGTATGTAATCTAACTGATTTACACTCCTTATAAAATGGCAAAAAAGTTCAATTTCTAACAAGAGAAAGCACTAAAATAACTCAGAATGTTGATAGTTTTATATTCACTAATGCAGAACTGACAATATAGATTGCTTAAATTGGTTATTAGGAAACATAAAAACTTACATTTTCATCAGAAATACAAAAAAAAACCTCATTGAATGTTCAATAACTCTCTGTAATAACAACAACCAACAATCATACCAATAAACCAAGAAACATAATTAAAAAATTACCTCTTATGCTGCAATGTTTTTAAAAGTGACATTTCTGGATCAACTTGGTAGAGAGTCTCCTTCTCCTCATCTTCAAAATACAGCTGGAAAACAAAGTTAGACGCTACATAAAAATTACATTTTATCTCTAACTGCAGCAAGACACAAATTCCAAACGAGCTTTTCAAACTTTTGGTGTTATTACACCTGTTGACATAGTTCACAGAGTACACAAACCGTTCTGTTGGAGGAAATACAACAAAATAATTCACACGTGATGAGAAAAGAAACTATTTTAAATAACAAAACAGAACAAAAAATTGGTTTAGTTTATTCAGAAGCTTCACTTTTGCAGAGGTACAAACCTGCAGGTTTTGTGGGTGGTATTTTCTGTCTGTGTCCCAAGGTGGAAGCTCTTCCCCAAACATGACACAAAGATGATCTGTAAAGCTAATCCAAAAAAGACAAAGATTCAAAGCAGATCTGCAAGACAACATTTTTATGCAATAAAGTGGAATTAAGTGGCATATTGTTTACTAATGGTTGTCATAAAAACTAAACATTTTCTTTACAATGAAGTGGTTAAAAGCAAAAGTTGGCTAAACAGCGCCCCCATGTGGTGGTTAAAGTTGTTTGTGACCAACAAAATCCTGAATATTCTGTTAACCTGCAGCAAAATGAATGCATGTGTATTTATTATAAATCCAATAAACTTCTACCAATCCTTCACATGCTGAAGTGTAAGACACAGAAAATGAAGGAGCTAAGTGTGTTAACAATAGATGACTCAAAGGAATCACTCTCACAAAGTGTGAGAATTCATCATTTACCCTTTCAAATACAAAAGCAGAATAAAAACAAGACCGTGCAAAACACAGCTGGTTCCAAGTTGCTAAATGTTCACAATGTTGTCAGATTATTGAGGAAACGTCTTTCCATTTTTAAGACCTTTTTAGCACACAGCTGTGTGTATTTATTTGAATCTTGGAAATGATTGCAGCTCTTGTGTGAAGGTCTCAGATGTTGACAGGACATCTGCAACTTGAAACTGAGGTAAACATTTTAGGAGGACAATAACCATAAACATTAATTATGGGTAAATTAAGGACATACATTCCCCAGTTACTTTACCTGTTGTTCTCACAGAAGGCTGAGATGAAATCGCTCTGTTGATCCTCGGGGTAGAGGAACAGAACCGGCCAGTGTAAGGAGCCCTGCTCATCCAGGAAGACCTGAGCCCCTGTGACCTCCACAGGGGTCAGGCTGTCCAGGCTCAGCTGTGCTATTCTTGCTGATGGGCGTTCATCCTCATCCTCACTGTCTGAACCTTCAGGTCGTGACCTTTTTGGCTGGAGAAGCTTGATGCCTCTTTCCTGTGTAGGAAGTAAATAAGAAAAATCATCTTTAAAATAAACTTGACTTAGATGGGGTGACAGAAGAGCAGTGGTCACCAGTAAACCTGCTCACGTTGGTTCTAGACCGTCTTAAAATAAGAACGTGATGCAGATATTTCAGTCATCAGGCTCCTCTCATTTGGAAAAAGGTCCCAGTTTTTCAGTCTACTTTTCTGTCTACTTTTAAAGTGAGGTTTAAAACTTTCCTCTTTGCCAAAGCTTATAGTTAGATTGGCTTCGGTCATCCTGAGTCAATCCAACGTGATAACTGGTGATATACTGACCAACTTTTCTCGCTCTGCTACTTTCTCCTACTACTCTCCAATTATGCATCACCTTAATACTCCTTCTGTTATTTCTCTTCGCAGAAAGTACACTAGGTCTCAAACAGAAGACCCTTTGACTAATTTGAATAACCTAGGATTCACTGCATTGGTTGATCAAACTACAAAATTTTATTGTAAATTTTACATGTCCATTTTAATTTCAAGCTTTAAATGATTTAATAGTAGTAGTAGGCTTAGTACACCATTGTGCATTAAGCCTAAGAGTTGAGTGTCAGAGAAAAATAAACAAAAAATACATAATAATTGTACAAAAAAAGCATTATAAGTCTACAAAAAGGCACATTAAACCAAATATTAGTGGAGGATCAAACTGAAATGTGGAGAGTTGACATTTATCTATATGATTGAACTGATTAAACATTTCTGAATACATTTTTGATTTATTTTTGTAAAGTGCCTTGAGATGACATTTGATGTGAATCAGCAATGAATAAAGAAAACTAAACTTAATTCAAACGTAATCTATTCAAAGCTAAAATGCTTACCTTTATAGCACCCAGAAGGGCCTCCTTCTCACCATGCAGCTTCTTTTCTTTTGCCTTGGCTTTCCTGGCATCTCTCTCTGCTGCTCTCTAAGGCAACACAGAAATAAAAACACATTCATTCATTTGCTGCAACCCTCATGAAACCCAACTCAAGCAACATGATCTCTTGAATTACTTTATGCTTATCTGCAGATGCTCTCAGCTCCATCAGTTTGTTGTCAGTCGGGTAGGACTTCAGTCCCTCATCACACCACTGGATGGCGCCTGAAAAGTTACGCAACTCCACGCAGCATTGAGCACCTGCAGAACACCAAAAACTGTCATACCCAATTCTATTTTTTGCATTGTTATATGCAGGATATAAAAATGTCTTCTATATTCTGGCGTAGCTGTATGATCTAATTGTATGGACAGTCAAGAGTAACACAAATTGTACTACATACCTCTGATCAATGCTTTGAGATGGTCTGGTTTGATCTTCTTTGCAGCTGCAGCGTCATTCAGTGCAGAACGCATGTTACCTGTGGGAAACAAGTTTGCATACTTCTTTTTAGACATCCTACATCTGACAGTCATAGGATGTTTGAAGACAAATATGCATTTAATTGTAAATTTTACATGTCCATTTTAATTTCAAGCTTTAAATGATTTAATAGTAGTAGTAGGCTTAGTACACCATTGTGCATTAAGCCTAAGAGTTGAGTGTCAGAGAAAAATAAACAAAAAATACATAATAATTGTACAAAAAAAGCATTATAAGTCTACAAAAAGGCACATTAAACCAAATATTAGTGGAGTTGTAGCATTATAAACTTTGACAGATAGGATATATCTTTTTTTACCCAGGTGGAAGTGTGAAGCTGCTCGGTTTGTCAGTAGCACAGCGTTCAGCTCCTGATCCTCACATTTCTTGTTCAAAGCGGCTGTATAGGCCACTACTGCATATTTGTAGTTTTTTTCCTTGAAAAATGCATTTCCTTCATCTTTCAGACTCTTTGCTTGCTCTGAAACAACACAGACCTCATACTTTTAAACCTACTGCACTTGAAAACACTTTGCGTGTGTGACACAAACGTGAGGTTTTACTTACCTTCAGGAGATCTATCCTCATTATGGATTATAGATTGGAGACAGGCTAGCTCAGGGTATTTCTTAGGGTCGATCTCTTCTGGGGCTGTTTTCATGAACATGGGGATTTTATTGAACTCCTGCAAATCAAATTTAAACACAGTGACTAAATACGGATTAAAAATGACTTTCCATTAAAAGATAAGAGACCTGACTGCCATTCTTACCTCCTCCCAGTTATTGTCAGTGAAAGCATTTTTATACCTCTGCGATTTGAATTTGTCCATGAACGCGTCCATACCGTCGTCGCTGTCATCCTGCACATCTGTTGACGCCATTTAAGCTCAAAAGATTATAAACTAGTTTTCTGTTTCGCTCAATGTTCTAATATGCAAGAATATTATTAGTTTACTAAAACAGAGCCTTCTGCTCTACCACTGTACAATTTTGAAGCTGCCTTGTTTATGCATGTGTTCACATGGTGCTACGTCAACTATTATCCGGACAGCAACGCAATGCCGATACATTAGTTCCGATGGCAGAGCGGATATCATCTGATGAATTAATACTTTGAAGAATGTGGAAAAAAATGCATGTATAATTTATAATCGCACATTTAATGATGATGTTGATGCTCTTTGAAATCCTTCGACCAAAAGTATCTTTGCACATAGTGAAATAAAGTCAGCCTCGGTCTTGTTTGACCAGGTAGCCTTCTCCCGCATAATAGGATACAGCATTATGCAGTTTCATTTGGCCACAAATGAAACTGCAACATCTTATTGCTTTTTTCATTAACTTTCGTCGATTTGATTTCTTCAGCAATCAGACTACTTTGATCCTTTCAATCAAATATTGAATGTTTATTTTAATTCAGATAAACACAAAAATAATTATTTTTTTAAGTAATTTTTGTGGCCTTTGAGTACTTCCAACTTGGCAATTTTGCCCCACGTGGCTCATTTATTTTATTGCCTTATGTACTGTTTTTTTGGTAGTAACAGTAAGTTAAATAATTTAAAACAAGGAAAGGCATATTTTTACATTAATTTTATTGTTATAATCAAATGCATTCAAATATTCCCATCTATAACGAAGCTAGTTTTAACAGCAAGTTTCATCCAGTGTTGATATTAAAGGCTTTGATATCTGTAGCAACTAAAAAAAAAGAAGAAAAATACAAAAACTTTGAACATTTAGTTCAACCCAGTTTGAAGACTTTTCTCTATACAGTCTCCACAGTCCCCAGTAAATCTAGCAGTCCATCCTTACTGAGAAACATTGTCTCACCAGTCTGCTGACATATCACCTCAAACTTTGGTATTTCCTCCAGAGCCGCTTGTCCCACAACAACCACGTATGGGTAGCCCAGTCTGCCAGCATCCTTAAGTCTCTTTCCAATGGTCATCTGTGTGCGATCGTCGAAAACAACTTCACCTCTCAAATGTGGCAAAAACTGTCCCAGATTGTGGACCAGCTCCTCTGCCATGGTTGCTGCCTCGTCCACTTTGCTACCCTTCTTAGGGGGTAAAACACAAACCTGGTATGGGGCAATAAGACCAGGCCAGCGGATCCCCTCCTCTGCTGACATCACTTCAATGGCCGCAGCGAGAATGCGAGTCACTCCAAGACCATAGCAGCCCATCTCAGCAACAGCAGGTTTGTTTTGGTGATTACTAAAAGTGGCATTGAAAATATGGGAGTACTTTTTACCCAGATAAAATGTGTGACCTACTTCTATTCCCTTCGACTCTACCAGTGTGCCAGTGCTGCACTGCGGACAGTCTGTTCTATCTGGAGACAAAGTCTCCATGTTAGCAGCAAATGAGCAGGTCCCACAGACTAGAAGCCGGTCCTCACCAATATCTGCGGGCAATTGGAACTCGTGGGACAGCGTGCCACCGATGTTTCCAGTGTCCGCCTGCACTTGAACGCAACGTAGACCCAACCTAGCAAAGAGCCGAGCGTACGCCTCGCAGACGGATTCGTACGTCTCATGAGCGGCTTCCTCACTCACATCAAACGAGTACATGTCCTTCATGTAAAACTCCCTCCCTCGCAGGAGACCAAACCTCGGCTTCGGTTCATCTCTGAACTTGCGGGTGATCTAGTATTTGGAAATAGAAATCAAAATTAAAAAAATAAAAAAGCAGCTTTACACAACAAACCCAAAACAGCTACACACTGAATGCTTACTTGGTAAAGAAGTAAAGGGAGTTGTCTGTAGGAGAGGGTCGTCTGGTGAGCGACGAGAGTTGTTACGGCCTCCTCATGTGTGGGACCCAAGCAATAGTCTGCACCGTGACGGTCCTTCAAGCGGAACAGCTCCTTTCCCATCAGATCCCAGCGCTCACTGGTTTTCCAGAGATCAGCTGAGCACAAACTGGGCATGTCTAACTTCTGTCCACCGATCGCCTGCATTTCCTGGTCAATCACCCTTATCTGTTGATTTAACACCACAGTTTTATATATACATAATAGAAGTGAAAAAAACTTTTTCTAATATCCATTTAGGATTTAGTATCCATATACAGGTAGAAACAAGAACACTAGGGAGAAACCATGCATTTCCATAAAAAAAAGTTTCTTAACATTACAAATCAGGATGTTAAGATCACAGCTCTGAGTTTTGTAAAATCAAGACAGAAATTGATTTACTGCAAGACTTTCCTTAGTTTTTGTGAGAAGTTTGTAGGGAAGTAAAATGGATTAATGTAAGAAGAAAGGACTCCTGAAGTTAATTTTTTACAATCTGGAAGCTTGATGTTTATTTAAGCAACTGCTTTTGTTTCAACTTTTTGATTTCCCCCCCCCAAAAAACAAATGTTATGAACCCGCAAAAAGGCTAATTCTACCTTCATCCATCCACCCATTTTCTTACACCCTTTTACCTAGTGGGGTCTGGATGGGGTGCTGCTGCCCGTCTCCAGTGAGACAGCTAATTCAACCTTTTATTTTTTATTTAATTATTTCATTTTCCTTTTTTTATTCTCCGGAAAACATTTACTAGAAATTAAACGTTAAAATGATGTTGTAACCTGTTGAGTGGTGTCGGGTACTTTGACATCCGACACCATTCAGGTGTCAGGTGTCAAAGCAGTTTAAAAACACGTAATTCACCATCTCAATAGTAAAAACCTACCAGTTTTTCCATCGAGCGGACAGTGGAGGGAAGGTAGTAGTAGCACCCCGGATTCGACGGATGGATGAGCCCTGCTTGCTGCATTAGCTTCTGGCTCTTACAGGTCATCTCACCCGGCAACCGGCTTTCCTGCCCCACATCTCGCAGGTTGGAAGGCTGGTAGAGACGAGACACCAGCAGAGGAGGTCTGACGTGTCTGGAGTGACTGACGTCTGCATGCTCAGGCTGACCAGAGTGCGTTCTCTTATGAAGAATAAAAGGTCTGTGGAGATTGTGAAAGCCTCTCTTCCAAATCTGACGTACTGCTGGCTCCATCATACAATGCTATTTCAGACAAAAAAAGAACTTATAGCGAAAATGAATAAACAATTTGAGTTGTATTATTTTCATCATGTTTTGTTCTTTTCATATTTTAGTCAGAATACAAAGAAGAGAATATTAGAAATTGAAAATATATACATATGTACTTTCACAACAAATGTTTTAGAAGAATTGTTCATAACCCATTACTAGTTTGTAGTGAGGAAATGTGAATATTTGACTCCAGTAAACAATATCGAGTTCATAAAAGTTATTTTGGTCTCATCAGGGATCATGAGCTGACATATTTTATAGAGATCAAATGGCCCTAATGGAATCAGTACAAAAATATCCAAAATGTATGTAGAATGTAACGCAAAGTTTTCACCTTGCATACTACTAAATTATTGGAAATTTTACACGAAATACCAGAATATTTATGAACACAAATCTCCAAAATTCGAAAAAAAACAACAAAAAAACAACAAAAAAACAAAAAACAAATAAATTTCATGCCAAAGTAAGCACATTGGTACGAAATGCTGTCTGCAGGTAAAAAATGGCAAAAAGGGGAAATGACAAGACCAGATTAAAACAAAATGATTCTTAACGACCACCTTGACTATTTTGAGGTGATGTATTGTGGAGCAGGTACGAAACCACTAAACTACAAGTGTACAAAACATTGAGCTGCAAAATAACTAATTGCTACGCGGTGTAAGGACATTAAGGGTACGAACTGAAAGTATGAATGGAGGAAATGGCAACGTAAAGGCAAAAATGGGGTAAGAATTGGCGAAATGCCCCATACTTTTTTCTAATATGGATTGCATGCTTAAAATGATATTTGAAATCACAACAGTGATGCTGCAGAAAATCATAGAAACGTATGGTCACCCATCTTGCAGGTGATCCGTCAGAGAAATCAGAGCTCTATTTTATATTTCTTTACATCCAAGTAGCAACTTAGCAAGACAAAAATTTTGCTACTCTAAAGAGCTTAAAAATCTTCAGAAGCACAAGAACAGAAAGCACAACTCACCTTCAGACAGATACTCCGCGTTAAATCTAAGAACATTAGAAAATAAGAGACATTTCTACAGCATGAGTCCAAAAACAGGACAGTCCCTGTCAGTACGCCCTTCTGCCTTTTTCTGTCTACTTCCTTCTCACACACACCAACATCGCCACCTAGAGGCTTGGAGAACTACAGGCAGAATAACAGGTTGGGATTCAACGAGCTTTCAAATCGTGAACACATGTTACATAAAAAAAAATCTGGGCTTTTCTGCTTTGTCAGGAAATGTTTATTTTACTTAGATATTTGATAAAATAATGTTTTTCAGAATGTGAAAAGGATGTGTGACTACAAAAGCAGCAGGATCCTGCTACTTGACTTACTTCAAGATTTTAGAGTATTTTCACTTATTATGCAGAGCTGTGTATGTCTGTGGTTACTTCTGAATAATATTTAACCTCCATGAAAATGAGAGACATTCTGCAATGTTCTCTGAGGTGTTTAAAGATGGATTTTCTTTTTTATTCCAACCCTGTTTTGGCCCAGAACGTTTTCTCTGAAATGTCCAGTGTGTCCACCTTGTCTTCAAAAATACATATTCTCTAACAAACCAAGACCTCCAAGACTATGAATTAATATTGAAACTAAATTTAACAGTGGCTAACTTTTAGTGCAGATGGCATAAGTATCCATAATGACAAGGATGGTAATTTTTCAATGAAAAAAAAGAAAACAAACAGGCATGAGAACAGATCCAGAATACACAGACTAGAACAATGAACCAACTACAGCATAAAGAATTTGGCATGGATGGAAGGGACAATAAATAACAGAAGGATCTGGTGATGGACTGAAAAAATGACAAGCATTTAGCAATTGGGAAGGTGAGTGAGTGACATGAGAACCAGGTGTTTTAATAGAACTTAGTCCAGCTGGGAGTGAACCTGGAAAAAGGGAGGAAAATGACCAAAAATACAAGAAAATGAACACAAAAGGGTCTAACAGAATCAAAAATAGATCAGTCTACTTAAGCAACTCATTGTTTGACTGTGAAATTCCAATAACTCTTACATGAACGCAGTTAATGGATTTGGATTGACCTTGGGAAATAACTGGTGACCATTATAATGCTCGACTCTGAAGGCTTTCTTATGACAGAAAATCCACATCTGAGAATCAAACAATTAACATATACAAATAAAACAAATTGCATTGTTTTTAATTTCCACTGTTTTTAATTTCATATACTTTTCAGACCTGCTGTAAAACTGGTAAACGGTTATCAGCAGTTCTGGTAAAATATCTGAAGCTCCGTTCTTGAACGCTGCTAAACCTTCACATACAATCTTTTTTCTTGTTGACATTATGCCATTCTACAGTCTGAGTTAATGCACTTTTACTGACTTTACAGCACGGTATGTCCGCCATTTTAAACCATTATTCCTCCCACACAAGCACTGGACAGCCGGCTGACGTGGCAGAGCTTAGTGTCTCTCTCTGGCTCCATTTCTCCTCCAGGTGAACTCTGTGAAAGTCATCTTACTGCCTGAGAGTTTCAGAAAAAAGATACTCAAGTTAATGTCCTTCTGAGCCAATTAGGTTTGTGTCTGTTCCATCCATTTGCTCTGCATCTCTCTCTGAAAGATTTTGTTCGAGGACAAAACAGGCGACTGAATGTCTTGGTGAGATATGAACAATCCCATTAGGACAGATGTTATCTCCAAACTTTACATTGTCATGTTTTGTCTTAAACTGATCAGCAG